CACTGCCACTACCACCACCACCACCACCACCACCACTACTACCGCCACCGCCGTCGCCGCTGCCGCCACCTCCACTGACACCCCCTCCTCCTTCACTCTCGGCCACGGGTATCGTCGTCGTCGCCGTCGCCGTCGCTGTCGCTGTCGTCGTCGTCGTCGTCGTCGCCGCCGCCGCCGCCGCCGTCGCCGCCGCCACCGCCACCGTCGTCGTTGTCGTGGCCGACGTCGCCGGGTGCTTTACCCTCCCTACGACGCTTTTGTCCTCCCTACCAGCGGCTCGAGGGCTGGAGACGACATCCCCACCAACGGAGCCACTACCACCGAGACGCTGCTGTTGAGCTTGCTGCTGCTGCTGCTGTTGCTGCTGCTGCTGCTGCTGCTGTTGCTGCTGCTGCTGTTGCTGCTGCTGTTGCTGCTGCTGCTGCTGCTGCTGCTGCTGCTGCTGCTGCTGCTGCTGCTGCTGCTGCTGCTGGTGGATACTTGACAGTCGTGCCAGCGCTGGAACACAGGTAAGTGCAAAAGAGAGAGGTCAGATAGAGTTTTCTTGCCGGTAGTGCACGCGCGCGCGCGTGCGTATGCGTTAGTGGTGAACGTGGACAAACGTCCTGTGTGTCCCCCTTTTCTCTCCCACCAGTGTCTCCATCCCACCCTCTGTCGTGCCCCACCAGTGTCCCACAAGCTCCGGGTACTCCCACCCCCGCACACACTCGTCTTTCTCCGTTCGCTTCTCTCGTGTCTCTCTTTCTCGCGCTGGACTATCGTTCGCTTTCTCTCTTTCTCCTTCTCTCGTTCTCGCTCGCACCGTCGCTCGGTCGTCCCTTCGAGCATACTCGCGTGGCTCCCCTCTCGCCTCTGCCATTCCTTGTCTCTCTCTCTCTCTCTCTCTTTCTCTCTCTCTCTCTCTCTCTCTCTCTCTCTCTGTCTCTCTTTCTCCCTCTTTCCCTCTCTCTCTCTCTCTCTCTCTCTCTCTCTCTCACCCGGTCTCTGTCTCCGGTATCGTCGAGGCAACCTAGGGTCGCCGTGGCACCGAAGGTACTTACTTATCCCCACCTGTTCCCGCGACCGGACCTACCGTCCCCACTCCCGGTCGACCCTACTACTAGCACCTCCGGCGTCATTCCTACTACTACTAGTATAGTCGTTTACTACTACCACCGTTGGCGCCTCCACCGCCGCCGCCACCGCCGCCGGTCGGGTACCGCCGCTAGAGAGTCGTGCCACCACTATATGCCAGCTATACGAGGACGACCACGGCGAGTCGCGCGGCGGATCCCCCTCCATTCGGATTTTCTCATGAGACTCCGGCATCCATCAACCTGCTGCTGCCGCCGCCGCCGCCGTGGTCGTCCTCGTCGTCATCGTCGTCGTCGTCGTCGTCGTCGACGACGACCTCGACATACCAACCGTCCTCCCGTGCACTCGTAAGAGGACCGTCCGATGCGCTACCAGCGCGTTCGACACCGGCTGAGGGGCAGCGTGGCCGAGAGTACTCGTTCGTCTCGTTCGATTCGGTGGACGCGCTCCGGGACACTCCGGCTGCCTCCTCGAGCGCGGAGCAGGTGGGCAATGGGCTACGGGGTACGGTGTATAATGACGAGGGAGCGAGTCGCGATGTATGACGATATCGAACTGGCCCGGTATTCTCATGTTCGCGAAATTATCGCGACGGATCTCGGAATGATAACGCGGCCGAGCGCGCGAAACCCGAGCACGCCGTTCCGCGCACCGCGGTTGCAGTTTCGTGTAATCCGAATCGAGTTACACTTTGATATATTCCAAGAGAAAGTCCGTATTGCGAAGGAGGCGAGCGCGCTCGTAAGTGTATATCAACGCAAGGTGCGTGGTGTGCACGTGAAATCAGCGCGGCCGGCCGGTTAAGCGGTGAGCGCGCGCGCGCGGGCGCGATGATTAATTAAACGTCACACGGACGCGTCCGTGCGACGACGGACGTCGCGGGGTTCCTCGTTCGGAGGCGACTTCGGCAACTCGCCAGACTCGTTGCTCGGTTTCGACACAATCGACGCGCCTTACCGCGCGGAGAGAAGCCCCGCGGAGGGCGGGAGAGCCCACAGCATGGCACGCGAAATTTCGCGCAACGATCATCGAGCGAGCGCGCTCGCTCGCTTCCAACGAGACTATTACACCGCGATCCGGTCGTTTATCGGCGATCGGGCCCCATCGGATATCGAAGGAATGAAGGTGCGCGCTCACCGTGCACCGGATGCACAGGATGCATTTTATACCCCTCGGTTACCCTTCTCGCTCGTTCGTCCGCCCCTCCCCCTCCCCCTCCCCCTCCATCGCGCCACCCACCCTTTCGCCCACGAATTAATAACCGCATCCCGTGCGTTAGCGAGACGCAGGAGATCGGCCGGAGAGATAGAGCGCGCGTAATGAGCGGCGGATAAACCGTATGACAAATCGACGCGTTTCGCTAATCGTCGCGAGTCGATAAGGTGGGGAGATTTATCGTCGGCTCGCGAGTGTGTGTTCATCGTCCCCTAATGAGGCAAGAGCGGATCATCGGCCGCGCTCGCGTTGTAATTCGACATCGCGCGTTGCAGCAATCGCGCTCGGCGATCGCGGCAAAAAGCGCCGACGCTTTCTTCAACACGAAATCGTCGAGCGACGACAACGACGGCGGTGGTTTCATGTGTAGGTGCCCCTCTCATCGTCGTCGTCATCGTCATCGTCGTCGTCGTCGTCGTCGGGAACACCCATCCGTAGGGACCAGCGGCCGCGCACGGACGGACGCTTTCCCTCCAGAACCGTCACGCTTTTCGCACCTGACGATTACTATCTCGGGACACGAAAGTTTATGGACCTCCTTATAGTCCGCAGACTTAGCGCGGACTCGCCAGATCGTATCGCCGCACGGCGGCGGCGGCGGCGGCGGCGGCGGTGGCGACGGCGGCGGCAGTGTTTCGCATACGACGAAAACGTTAATCGAAACGTGTGCGCGTTAATGCTCCTTTCCTATCTGTCTCTCGCCATCAACCTGAGCACTCCGCCGCGCACTTGCCGGACGAACGGACGGACGGGCGGGCGGACGATCGAAAGTGTTGTCGGTCGTCAGCGTGCCATTGGACGATATACGAGCGGCGCAAGATAAGAGAGATTGGAGTTACCGCGGCTGACTTTTGCCGAGACGGAGATTTCGCGATCGCACGCGCGTTTCTTTTACGATCGGCGTCGGATAGGATACTGCGGTGGATATGGATTAGCGATCGGCAGCGCTCGGCTGTTCTGTCAGTCTCGGAAACGCGATTGCGTCTCGAGGAGAAACCTCACGGTCGTCTCCCGAGAGACGACGGCGCGAGGTGCGATCGAGAATTAGATGAGGATTTGCGGAAGCGTTAAGAGAATGAAAAGTAATTTGCAGGATCCCTTTCTCTCTCGTCCGGCTGAAAGCTTCGTTGTTACGATCTCGAGCCTCGATTCGGAGGCATTTTTTTACCGCGTGTTCCAGATGATCGAGGGTCAATAATGTAGCTCGGGAACGGTCCACCGGGACGAAGGATTCGGGGACCGACAGATGATCTCTCTCATTGTCGTGTCGAGATAGAAAAGTCGTCGCGGCCTCTCGGATCCATTACGTGATTCCTTTTCGTGCGGCCGATAACATTGAGGGGGCGGTGTGTTTCGTACGGGACCATCGGCCTTTGCCAGCGTGATTGTCGTTGTAGGTGCTACATTGTAGTTAGGGGAGGGAGAATGGGAGAAAGAGAGTAGAAAGGAAAAGAGAGAGAGAGAGAGAGAGAGAGGGGGGGAGCCCTCAGGGGCCCCCGTGAGCGGTCCCGACCCTCGCGGCGAGGCCCAGCGTGGGATCAATAAAAATCATGGAGTCATCGCGATTGGGCGCCACTTGTCATTAATGACTATCCGATTTTTCGATTTAATTAAACGGCGATGACGATCTCGCCACCTAAATGTCGGCTCAGCGATGCCAACGATGCCGGCGATGAGCGAGCCAGGGGGCAGGGGGGGGGACACGTTTAGAATTAAAGATCGCGCGACCAGATCGGCCGGACTGAGAATAATAAGACGTAATTAAACGACGGTAATTAGGTTGCGTCCAAAGTCGCGGACGACTCGGGCGCGATTACGCTTCAATTTTCTCCAAGCGCACGAAATCTACCCGACTAATTGCACAGACGATCTTTCCACACCCTCTCCGCCCTCACTTCTCCTCCTCCTCCTTTTCCGTTCACGCCAAACGTATTTCTAAGATCGCGCGATAAACGCGACGATGTCGATTTCGCGCCTCGGCTTTAAACGGAATCATTAATTAAGCCACGGATCCGACGAGTTTCAACGTGGCTGTCGAATCGATAATCCCTATTTTACGAGAGAGCGCAAGATACCGGGAGCGGCGGCGGTGGCGGCAGCTTCGAATTACGCACGCATAGCCGCGCGCCGGAGAATCACGCGGACGGGAACATTGAATATAAAAACAAATCGCGTCAGTCGCTGGCGTACGAAATCGCATTTCCCGCGGCAGTGATAAACAAAACAGAATTATCTACGGACCGTCGCTATTTACCCGATCCTTGTTTTATTTCCCCTGACAGCCGTGCGCGCGCGCGCGCGCGTTGTTTTTTGCGTAATACATAACGGTGCGCGCTCGCGGCTGGTCGGAGAGGTAGCGCTGCATTATGTGCGTGAGAGTGTGCGCCGCATGTGTCAACGAATTTTTCCGCGAGCGCATCGAGCTCGTGTATCGAGGGGAACGGTAATCCGATACCGAGGCGACGTCGCCGCGTGCGCTTGATTTGCGCGATATAAATGAAAATTAAACGGATCGCCGTTCGCTTTTGTTCGCGCGCAAATTAATGAGTCCAAAAAATTTGCATCTTCGCGTATCATATCGGTTGTCACACAATGCGCGAGCCGTTCGCGCTGTCCGCCGGTTCGCTTCGTGATTTTCGTTTCGACGCGGAGCCAAAACGATAACCTTTGTCGATGGACAAACGATATTTTTTTAGGAGGGATTTTCGCTC